AACTCCTCTTCAGGCCACTGTGAAACAGCTCGGCCACCCAACAAAATCAGGTAAGATATATTGCAACCCATTACACAAAACCCGCTCGTAGGCACTGTAATGGGAGATAAAATCAGATAAAAATATGTGGTCTCAAGATTTCTGAAGCTTTGGACACAGATGAAAATTGCCATATTCGCTCAATTCTCCTCCAACAGATTAATGGAAAAGAAAGATGAAGTGAGATTGCCTTAAAAAAAATTTAAAAAGTCAGCCTAGAAAGGTGGCAAATTCATGCTACAATGTCACCAAAGGGAAGCATGAGGTACTTAGATGTTCAGGTCCAAGATTCTCAATTCACAGGTAAGGAAACAGACCCGGTGATGTGAACTGGCCAAGGCCACCGAGCAGGCCAGGAGCATCTGCTGGACTTGACCCATCTTCTCAGAGATCCTTCCACACCTCTGTGCCTGCTTCTCTAACAGCATAAACCAACCTCTGGTGCAGGCTCCTCGTAAGATGCATGCAAATTGAGACTGCATAATTTGTGGCTTACACTAGTATTTCTAGGGAGCATTATTTTAATTTATGATTGTTTGCAACTTGTAATAACTTTCAACAATTTTTTCTTTAAATTCAGGGCATGATAAAATACTCTGAGAAAAGTACAAATTCTGGCAGCCTTACAAGCCCCACTTTGCTGTATGAAACATACATTTTTGATAGATAAAACAATAACTTTAGTATTTTTCTGAACTCTTTTGAAGACATCACTAATGACTCATTGGTATTTAGTAACTTTTTATTAGAAAAATAAGGCAACATGTTCCAAAACGATAAGATGTCTGGTAATAAAAATACTTAAATGTACTTACTCTTGTCAAGATACTGCCCTATACACTTTACATGTATTAACTCACTTAAACCTCGCAAGAACCCTTTGAGGTACATACTATTACTAGCCCCATTTTGCAGATGAGAAAATGGAGGCACAGAAAGGTTAAGTACCTTGCCCAAGATTACACAGCTGGTAGGTGGTAAATCTAGTATTTGAACCACAGTTGGCCTCCAGGCTGGGGACAATTAATGCTACATTTTAAAAAACTGTCTTTCATACCAAATAAATAAATAAATAAATAAATAAATAAAACAGCCCTCCCCTTCCTTTATTTTTTCTTTATAAAATATTTCTTGGTGCTTTTCCTTTTCCTTCCCTTCCCTTAATATAGCCCAGGCTGGTGGGCCTGATGAGGCCAGGAATACAAACATAGTCAGGTCTAAGGGGGTGGTCAAGGCTGAGAAGGCTGATAGGTCCAGGGGACCTGGGCTGGGGAAGTGGAGAGTCAAAGACAGATTCAGTGGGCAGGGATGTGGCTGAGGAGATAGCCATCAGGATCAGGAGACTGATTACATATGGGGCACTAAGCAAATATTTTAATATATTGTGGATAATGAGAGTCAGGCATCTCAGAAGGGAGGTACAAATATGGAGTGCTAGAAAAAAATCTATGGTATTGAATTTAAATTAGAGGTATTGGTGTCAACTCATGGCTTTTCATTTATGTAGATCAATTATACATACATATATGAACCAGGAGATCTCAGTTTGATTTCCCATCAGAGCACAAACCAGGGTTACAGGCTCAATCCCCAGTGGGGGCTTGCAGGAGGTAGCTGATCGATGATTCTCATCTTTGATGTATCTAGCCCTCTTTCCCTCTCCCTTCCTCTCTCTGACCACCTACTTTGTGTCAAAACAATAAGACTATGTTGAGGGACCCTAACCCAAAAGAGCTTCAGCCCTCCTCATGACAGGAGGCAGCAGGGACTGCTGGAAAGAGCAGGGGCCTTGGACATAAGACAGGCATGGGTGTGAATCTTGGCTTTGCCACTTACTCCCTATGACTACAGCCAAGTCAGAGAACTCTCTAAGCCTCCATTTCCTCATTTGTAAAGCAGGGGTGATGATGATGATGATGATGATGATGATGATGATGATGATGATGATATTTAATCTAGGGTTGTCAGTGTACAAAGAATCCGGCTAAGTATCTGACACACAGTATGACATTTAACGTTACCTTCTCTCCAGTTGTCCTCCCATTTTTCAAGAACTTTAAATCAATTCAGTGAGTGAGAACATTCTATTAAGCTAAGTATAATCAAAGGCAAAAATGAAATCATTACTTCAGTGAAAGAAAAATAATAACAATGGCCAGTATTTATTGAGCAACTACTATGCGATAAGTGCTTTATACACATTATCTCATCTGCCTCCACAGGACTTTCTCCTGCTACAGCAGGACATTACCTCCAAATGATTCTCTTTCTTGCTCTTGCCTCCATGTAAGTGTTCATTAAAAGGCCAAAAGCTTCCCTGGCAGGTGTTGCTCAGTGGCTGAGCGTCGATCTATGAACCAGGAAGTCACAGTTCAATTCCCCATTGGGGCACATGCCTGGATTGCAGGCTTGAGCCCCAGTGTGGGGAGTACAGGAGGCAGCCAATCAGTGATTCTCTCTCATCATTGATGTTTCTATCTCTCACTCTCCCTTCCTCTATGAAATCAATAAAAATATTTTAAAAGACCGAAAGCATTTTTATGTACCTTTAAAGTCAACCTGACCCTGTTACATGTGAATCAGGTAGTTTAGTAATATTTCAGCACACAGCGTCTCACGATTAATTAAATATCTGCAAATGAATTATACAGGCTGGGTCTTTCTTTTGAAAAGCTACATGTCACTTGAGTAGAAAAACTAACTCTGAATTCAAAATGCCCCATACTAAAATATTGACTAGAGAATTAATTTTAATTAACCTACTTTTCAATGAGCTTTAATTAACTCACTAAAAGTAGTGAGTCATTGCCATTCTCTAGGCCAAAATGAATTTATATGAAGTAAGGGATGAGGTCTAGAAGGGAGAGAGAGAGGAACAGAGGAAGTCATGTCTTCTAAACAAATGGAATGCCTTTTACTTATCAAACTGGCCAGGCCACTACAGTGAGCACCGATGCATATGGCACAGTAGATATCAGACATCAAGTTACCCATGTTGTTTGTAGAAATCTCAGTTGGGAAAAGGAAGTGTAGAAGATACACGGGTAGGAGACATTTTGCACCTTGAAATGGAACTGCTTGCTTCCATGCAAATGGCTCTGGGTGGGGATGATGCCCAGGCCCCAGCACTGTCACAAGCACCCTTGATGGCTCTGATTCATCCCATGGTGTGAGAACAGCTTTCAGAGCTCAGTAAAAATGTAAAGACCATGATGATTCCTCAGATTTATTTCATGGAGATATAATTTTCTGTTTAGAATATTGAATATTTTAAGTAAATAAGATATTTATCCAAGCAACTCTAAAGGAGAGGCATTCACACTTTGAAAATGAGGGAAATCAAGTCTTGACACATGATCTATGGCACATTATCCCTGTATGAAGTCAGAAATCAACTGATTTGGAGCAGAGCTGTAAAGAGTTGCCAATTCAGTGATTGGGGCATTTTACACCACAAATTGAAGCCACTTAATGAACTCACCTTTGCATTCAACTCCTAGTTAATGTTATCTTGGGGGAAATGGCATTTTTCTAAATTTATTACTCCACGCTCCTGCCTTAGCAGTTCCAGGGTGACGGGTGACGGAAGCTATGTATTCTTTGGTTAGGGAGGAGAGGTGTTCACCATTTGCTCTCTAGTGTCTTTGATGAGGGACCTGAAGGTCTTGTCACGGGAGCTGGCCACAACTTGCCCAAAGGGTTTGGCCTCGTGTCATTTTCTTGTCTGGATTTCTCTCTTCCACTTGCCCAGGAGTGTTCCTAGCTTTTGGCTATGCTGTGACACTCTTAGAGATCGAGACATCAAACCCGGGAGTACCTGGTCGCAGGGCCCCAGGACACCTATGTTCACCCATAGGATCCTGAGCTCCAGAACATTGTCTCTCACGGGAGTGGGAGGCATTTGGGGAGGGGGTGGCATTGGGTCAGGGGTGCTGGTCCTGCGTACTTAAAGCTGAGTATTTATTTTCTCGCGTGAATGTCTCTCATGTCGATTCAGTCATCAGGCCGGCAGAAAGCACCTTTGCAAAATCAGGTCCCTTGTAACTTCCCTTTTCCAGGGCCCCTCCCTGGGGGCACAACCGATTGCACCAGGGCAGAGACCACAACTTTCCTCATTGGTACCGTTGACCCAATACCTGCACTTTTGCTAAACAAACTGGTGGGGGAAAGCTCAAAAACATCCCATCCCAGCTTAGGGTTTTTCTTCTAAACAAATGGAATGCCTTTTACTTATCAAACTGGCCAGGCCACTACAGTGAGCACCGATGCATATGGCACAGTAGATATCAGACATCAAGTTACCCATGTTGTTTGTAGAAATCTCAGTTGGGAAAAGGAAGTGTAGAAGATACACGGGTAGGAGACATTTGCACCTTGAAATGGAACTGCTTGCTTCCACGCAAATGGCTCTGGGTGGGGGTGTTGGGGGGAGGGGGGTGGATAATTTCTCTCAGACTATCCTTTTAGGATTCCAAGTTCAGTTCGAGTCATTAGAAGTATACTGTCTGTTGAATGATCACATGAATGAAAGTAGTACTTTGCTGATTCTATGCACTGAGAGGACTAACAAAACTGATAAAATTTCCCCTCCTCTGTAATTCCTTTCATGAGACATTTACAAAGCGCCTAGCCTATGTCAGGCACCTGATAGACAAGGTTCTAGTCTGGAAATAATCTCTTAGGATTCTCAGGGGCACAGCCTCGCTCCCCTTCCACTACAGCCTAGATGGCTGCCGCACCAATAGCTCCTGGCTTCTGGGATGCCTGTTTGGCTTCTAGGACCACACTCCTCCCGGGCCTGCCAGGATTCTTGCGGTTTCCCCCACAGCCAAGCCCTCAAGTTCTACTCTGGAGCTGGCACTGGCTCTGAAGGGAGCAAGCTCTGGTCTCCCAGGGAAACACATGCGATTCCTTCCACCAGCCCGCCCTAAATGGGCTGCACCAGAACCCCGCTCACTTACTTTGCCGCTGTCACTCACGCCCAGGAGGTAATCCCGCAGCACCTCCATGGGGCAGACCCAGGTGGAGTGGACAAAGGTCCCTCGGATGATGTACGCCAGGGGCGGCATCTTGGGGTCACACAAGTCAGCTGGGGAGAGCAGCGGAGTCCTCAGGACAAGAGAGGCGCACCAGGCAAAGGCTCTGCAAGGACTCCAGCAGCTGTGGATAGCTGCTGAACACGCCCAGCACTGGCTCCTGCTTCTCCTGCCCCCGCTTTTCTGGAGATCACCTGCCCCCTGCAGGCCACGCCCAGGGGTGGCTCCCTGTCTTTTCTATACCAATGGGATGTTCCTGCCTGGAGTTGGCTCCCTGCTCCCTGGGTGTGCTCTTTCCCTCCTCCACTGCGTTGGTTTTTGACATATTAACTCTTTGAGTTTCCAAAATCACGGCTCACGCTGCAGTTCTTTGCATCTCTGGTGGCTGTCACCCACCCAGGGGGCAGGAGATGAAGGAAGGAGCTGGAGGAGTCAGGATTCCAGCCCCGGACCTCGAATTGGTCACTAAAGGTGTTTCTGCTCTCTGTCCCCCAGCCTCCTCCACCTTCCTTTAGTGGGCACACCTGGACTTGCACCTGCCTGTTTTCTCTCTCCTTTAGGCTCTTAGGGCTCTTCGTGGTCAAACCTTGAACTCTTTGACCTGTAGCACCCACACACTCTGACCTGGCACAAGTTCAGGCAAGGGTGAAAGGTCAGTAAGAGCGGCCAACCTTCCAGACAAGTTTCATTTTCAGCTTCTGCCAGCGGCAGAATTTGTCCTAACCTGATGGTCTGGAAGCATGTCCTACAGAATTGATAGGAGCCCTCCCCCATAACCCCCCTCATTCCCCCCCTTCCCGGCCACTGAAAATTAATCTGGACCCCAAAGTACCTCTCTTCACTTTGAGGCCAATATGTTGATCCTTCTGTCCATCCACAGACAATTACAATTCTAAGTTTTCTCACACCTAAATTAATCTCTTTGACTTATTTGCAGTTGTACACAGGTTAGAAAATAAGTACTCAAGCCAACTAGCTAGGAATGGCAGTGTGACATGGCTTGGTGGGAAAATCAGGAGATTATGGCGAATGGGTTAGGAATCGGGAGACTATGGTCCATGAGGTGGGCCTTAGCATCCTTATCACCGACCTTTGTGAAAATGGAACTTGGACCCGGTGCTGCTAAGACTGTTTCTAGGTCCATATTCCTTGCCCACACTACACCTGCACAGTTCCTCACTAAGCTCCTCCCAGAAAACCAGCTGGCTTCTCCTCAGGGCCTTTGCACCTGCTGCTCCTTCTGCCCCTCATGCCTCCTGTGGGTCTTCACCTGGCCAGCTCTTCCTGTTACTGGTTTACTTCAATTGTCAGCTCTTAAAGTAACCTCCCCGCAACCACCACCAAGCTAGTAGCAAACCCCTGCCCCTAAATTTCTATTCCATAATGCATCCTACGTCTGCCATTGCATCATTATATCCATTAATCCATCATCATGTATTTTTTCTTTTTTTATTTATTTCTGCTTCCCTTCCGCCAACACACACACACACACACACACACACACACACACACACACGAAAAAAAAGGAGAAAAAACAAAAACACAAACACTTGGCATAAAGCACAAGCGGGCAACCGAATATAGTCTGAGCATGCCATCTTGGGTCTGAGGGGTTTTATACCCCCTCTTTCCAAGGTCCCCCTTTTACTTTGTTAGTGCTTTCCCAGAACTTGTAAGAATACCTGGCAAGCCCCAAGACTGCTGACTTCTTTGTTCAGTGGGTGAGATAAAAACCCTACCTTTTTGCCTCCCCCCTTCCACGCTCCTGCCTTAGCAGTTCCAGGGTGACGGGTGACGGAAGCTATGTATTCTTTGGTTAGGGAGGAGAGGTGTTCACCATTTGCTCTCTAGTGTCTTTGATGAGGGACCTGAAGGTCTTGTCACGGGAGCTGGCCACAACTTGCCCAAAGGGTTTGGCCTCGTGTCATTTTCTTGTCTGGATTTCTCTCTTCCACTTGCCCAGGAGTGTTCCTAGCTTTTGGCTATGCTGTGACACTCTTAGAGATCGAGACATCAAACCCGGGAGTACCTGGTCGCAGGGCCCCAGGACACCTATGTTCACCCATAGGATCCTGAGCTCCAGAACATTGTCTCTCACGGGAGTGGGAGGCATTTGGGGAGGGGGTGGCATTGGGTCAGGGGTGCTGGTCCTGCGTACTTAAAGCTGAGTATTTATTTTCTCGCGTGAATGTCTCTCATGTCGATTCAGTCATCAGGCCGGCAGAAAGCACCTTTGCAAAATCAGGTCCCTTGTAACTTCCCTTTTCCAGGGCCCCTCCCTGGGGGCACAACCGATTGCACCAGGGCAGAGACCACAA